GTGTTTCTCATTTCGAGTCTATCCTCATACAACCTACGGATTCAACTTCTCTCAAGCCGACTACAGGGGCTCGTAAGTGTCAACTACCTGGATTACTTTTTGCTTATATTGTTTCCTTTACACAAAATGTCCTGGGTTACTATAGCAGTTTTTTAGTATGATAAAACTCACTGCTCAGCATTGTAAGATGGGCGATCAATTCTTTCTTCAGAAAGTAAATTTTAGGACACGGACAAGTAAATGTGCAAACCACTCAGCCAATCATAAGACGGTCACTTATACCGCGAATTGTTCTATTTGCATCTGTGTCTGTGCCGCTCACCAAAATATCGTGAACTTTTACGTTAAATTTTAGTTTCCTCTTGGGCTGCAAGTTTCCCGCTACCAGCTAGGCTGGATGCTTTTTTCCTGTAGATTTTTACGGCATATTTGCGTTGTCTGTTTCCACCTGGACATGATTTCTCTACTGATTAGCCGCAATGTCTCTGACCCTCCAAGCTTACTCGCATATCCTCCACTTGCAGCCATTGATCTGGACTGGACATCCCCACTAGGGCTAATTGTACTCCCGCATGGCGGACCACATTCCAATTTCTCTACTGAGTGGTTGGGCCTAGTGACAGCGTTCGTTGCCAGTGGCTTTGCCTGCCTTCTCGTCAATTATCGTGGGTCGACAGCCTACGGAAACAATAGTGTGCATTGTCTGCCCGGACAATGCGGTATACTCGACGTGGCTGACTGTGTCCAGGTATTTTTGGTTCCCGTGGTGGTGTACAATTAATTCTAAAAACCATCTTATTGAATTTAATTAAGTAGTTTGTTTTATTAATTTTGAATAGGCCACTAAGGAGGCACAGGCACGTTTGCCTGGCGTTCCAACCCTTCTGATGGGTGGTTCGCATGGTGGCTTCCTAGTGCTCCATCTTGCCGGCCGCTACCACGATCTGTATCGGGCTGTTGTTGCCAGAAACCCCGTCACCAATCTGACGACAATGATAGGAACTTCTGACATTCCGG